GCGTAACCATGCATTCAATAAATCGATTTTAAATAGAATAATTTTATTCAAGTATTTGTTGATTACAAGTAGTCGTAATAATAATATTGTAGAAAAATACTAGAATAAGATAGTTAAGTTCTAAATTTTACTTGTTTTTAAAAAAATGTTGATTACTTAAAAAATGAAGACTTGAATTTTTAATCGACTTCAAATACTCAAATTATTGTCCTTCCAATAAAATTAGCTTATTATATGACATCTTTTTGTAATAGAAGATTTTATCGATTAACTTAAATAATGAATACGTCAATATAAGAACTTACGACTGCCTTAATTAATTGTACTAGATGGTTTTATGTTGGTGATTGATCAAATTGATGAATGCCAAGACAAATGAAAATGTTAGTGCTGACAAAATATGGTAAAATCTTATTAATCAGAAGAGATTTACGTAATGAAGGCTTCATGTGAAATTTTTGTGATTTGTTTATTATTTCTCGGATTTCTAACTCTGCTACTCCGCATATTTGGATAGCATCTTAGGTGGAATAAACTAGACCACCTTCGTCCTCGAAAGAAACGAACTCATACATATGACCAACTCCAGGTTTTTGTAAAGACAGCGCACTGTTAATTCTTTGCATTGTATATTTTTTATATTACTACATGTCCGGCGATGTATGTAAATATTTGCTCACTATATTCGGACATTCGAGGCAACGTGCTTCAAAAATTATCGAAATTACAGATACTACTCATAATAGATACTACAAAACTGAAAAAAAAACGAAACGTTACTAAACTTTATAACAAAAGAGTTGTAGAATATTTTTATAATATTGCTAAGGTAATAATATTATAATAATAATTTCCGTTCCTTTGTTTTCAAAATCGATCAGAATCGAGACAGTGTTGCCTAACATCACTAAATGTTAAATTTGGCCAAAGAAATGTACGGACAACGGCACATCAGACTACACATTTTTGTTCGAAAATCGCCTCCAGTGCAACGGAACAAGATACGTCAATGTGTAGCTTGATGTGCTGGCGTGTGTACAAGCGGCCGTGACACGAAACTGAATGCATTATACAAAAGTGCGTTCGTTCGATATTCATGGCGTATTAACAAAAGATCATAAATATATCGCACCAAGTAAAAGCCGCAATTTATTACAAATCATGAGACATACACTCGGTTGCATATTTGTTTTCTCGAAATTTGTACAAAATCAAAATAATTGTTTTAAAATAAATTATACATCTTCTAATCATAAAATCACTTTCCCCTGGAAGGAAACGTCACTGTTTACCCGTTTACCCACAGTTATGGTGCATTGGCAATTTATAATGGCAGAATTATGCATTTTTCACGTTTTCGACTGGTGTTTTTCTACGATGAAGGTCGAGCACGTTCTGAAGTGTATCAGCGGCAAGTAAGTGAATGTCACTTACTTTGAGCACGCGAAGTAAATACACTTACGGCGTCTATCTAGATATATGACTGTGATGTAAAAGCATTTTGAATATCAGTCTTCGTAATGTTTAAGCTCTTCGGTATATTTAAGGCCTATTTATGTCTTTATAAATGAAATGATTATTTATCTTAATGTAGTAAATGGCAACTTACTTTTATCAATATCGTCGATGACATACATGGAATGCAAGTGAGAGCTTATCAACAACCTTCGTCAATAATATGACCGAGACGATGTGAATCTAATAAAAGTCTTTATTGAATAAAAGTAATTCTTACAATAGAAATGCTAGGTATCATCAGTTTTTATGAAGGAACATGGATGCTATTATTAGTTTTTAGATCAACTGTTCTATCATAAATGCTGGTTACAGTCATAAAACAGTACATAGGTAGCAGTGCGAAGCGTGCAATTTCTATTTATTTGTAGTAAAACAGATTTTGCTAATGTAAAGTTGTTTATTCTTTGCCATAATATTCTATTTCTATAATATTCTAAAATAACACAGACCACCGGTGCGATGCGACGTAATAACAGCAGGCGATTGCCGTGACAGCGAGTACCTACTAGCATTGCATTGCGAAGCGTGCAGAATAAAATTTAATTCACTAAAGTTTAAACGTTAGTAGAAAACGTCAGGGACAACCCCTCCGCTTTTCCACGGCCCTAATAAAGCGCCCCGTAAACAACAAAATAATTTGTCAAATTTATCCTTCATACTTCACATTTTTTTGAAACAATGTGGCAAACGATCAAATAAACCATCAATCAAGTTTGACAAACTTGTATGTAGTATCGCGTTTCACTCTTTCGGTTATCTCTTTCTGCATTCGTACGTACCGTACTATAGTTAATACAATGAGTCATATCTCTTTGTAATTTGTGCAATGAGTAAGAATAATAGACAAGCTTTTCTGGCATTAACTCTATCACTATGTATTAAGAAAAAAAATGTTAGTATAGAGAATGGTTGAAATTAAGTGAAAAATATATAATAAATATATCCACGAAAATTTGTTAAAAGAAATATTGTGCACAGAACTAGAAAACTATATGGAATCTAGCAAGGTAAACGCATGAGCGTCAACTGAAGTTTGGTTCAAACATTCCCGCATACCTTCAAACATATTTGTCAAACGCGCCGTCAATCTAGATTTTCATCAAACATATCAAACACGTACATTATTTGATAAACGCATCAAACGTAACCGCCGACTGTCGAAAGGTTTGACAAACACGTAAAATTTGACAAATTATTTGATCGTTTCGCAATCACCAAGTAAATACGTCATAGATTTTCGGAACAGCCTTTGTATGACCTGTCTGAATAAATTATAATATGTCAGGAGGAGTCATCTGCTCTCCTGAGAGGTTTAATCAGGACTGCTCATGTCGTCAATTGTCCAAAAGTAAGACGTTTGAATTCCTGTCAGTCGAGTTGTCTTTGTAGCCAGTCAATCCGCTGGTCGTCCACAGAGGATCGTCACTTGGTCATCCAGAGAGGACGGACGCGAGACTCTTGTTGATTCCATTTTTTTAAGACTCTAATTGATCCAGTCACTTCTCTTTCTGGTGCGTGACCGAACGCACACTGCACCACTATATCATATAATAATATGTATAACAAAATTAAAATTCACTTTTCATAGGATATATTTAAAGAAATCATGTAATATTAATAGTAAACATAAACTGTCTTTGGTAAACGCTTGATGGGCATAAAATTGTGAATTTCGGCGTAATTTTGAAGATTGATAATTGATTGTATGTATATTATTATTGTAGGCAACTGTAAGTTTTCCGTATGGTCTGGGAAATCGCCGTGTATTTACTGCAATATTAGCAATATTTCTTCTAAGTCTTTCCATTCGTTTCTTGTCACCCGTAATCTATAGATACCTTATACTATTCTTACAATAATAGTAATATAATAATTGCCAGACAACCACACCAATAGCCTGGCCTCAAACTAGGGAATTTCCCATACTGTGAGTACCAGACTAACGTAATTCACTCTAGGGCACTTTCCACAACAAAGTTAATTTCCCAATTTGGTCCCACCGGGAATCAACCCCGGGACCTCCTTATCCAACGCCCACAGTAAAACCCTTGGGCCACCGAGGTCGACAAAAACCATACGATATACGATGTTATAACACGATAGACTAATATCGATCACTGCCCCCAAGAATATTTTCGACTTTACTCTTTTGATTGACCACCTAACTCAATAGCGGAAAGCCTCTGAAATTTTCCCGTAATTATACTTGTGGGCGAATTCGTATAGGATAAAATAATGTGTTTATTATTTCGTTAAAAAGATCACCTTCAATGTAGATAGATGCCTGCTTCCCGACACAGGAGTTTCCTTCTACCGCTTCGCTATGATCGCACTGAGCTTCTGGCGGTAATTGATTTTAGGTATTCTATGCGCTTCATGTATGTGTGAGGCATACGTTTATATAGCCGTGTGTAGGCCCAAGCGACACTACCTCCACATGCGACGGCGACGGCCGAAGCAGGACTAAAGCGGACAGGAGAGAAGCGTGGCGGCTCCAGCTAGTATGGGCGGACCGCGTGCAAATTTATTTCCTTCGTATTTTTAAAACAAATACATATTTCACAAAAATGTACGGAGTACACGTTATAGAAAAGATGAAGTTTTATTATTAATCAAAAACTAATGACTGACCAAAAATGCATGACCTTCTCTGAAGTATTTACGCCGTACTAAGGGTTTCATTTGTTTTTTAGAGATAACTACGGATTTTTTTTCTATAGAGGAAACTACAAGTAATTCTGTTTCTAAAGAGTATGATTTATAGAGTGAATATTTAAATATCTTATACATTAATTTCACAACTAAAGCTCTAAAACGATACAGCAAAGGATTAAACGAACGCAATTATTTCGCAATTACAAACGTACTTCGGCGTGGTCTTAAATATAACAAAGATGTTACGATTAATCAAGAAGTCAAAAGACTCGATAGATTTAATAAAAATTTAATACACTATCAATCACGTGTTTGGATGCTGTGCAACATTTAACATGCGCTGCTTATATTTGACTCTATCAACCTACTTAGCGCAGTTAAAACCTCATCTTTCATTAATGAAATAAACTTTGTATCATTTTATAAATTGTAGATAATATGTAACAAGTAGTACAGTCATGAGCACGTCAAGCTTGACACTTTGTACTTTGGATCGTTCTTATCGTAAGTGGATTTAAATCTTAAGTGTCAAGCTTAACGTGCTCTTGACCCTGTACATTCAAAACAACCAGCTTCAAATTGTTTTGTTTTCCATGAGTACCACCCCGTTTCCACTGATCCAATAAATATTTTTGTGCGGTTGCTCAAATGTGGATAGGTTAGTCACGTGCGGGTTTGCGGAGGTATAGACCGCTCTGACAGTACCTTCCACCGTGCCGTGGTGGGTGACGATGACGCTATGCGACACGCGCCGGTTCTCGAAACCATCTTGAAGCGTTGAGTGACGATTGACGGACATCAAACATGTCAGTAGCGCGCGCACAGGCTGTTCGCGCGCTCGCCCCTGCGCATGAGTGCAAGCTATGCCATAACTTTCTTACAATTACAATTCGCCAGTATTCTCCCCTTAAACAGTGAAAGTTCTATGTCTTTGTAATTTTTATATAAATTATTATCGATCAAAATGGAAGTCAAAACTGATGAGGTTCGTAAAGTTTTTATTATTTTTTAGTGAACATATTTTTTTATGCATTTGTGAATTGTTTTGAGAGTTGCTTTAGTCGCCTTCCATGAATAATATTTATTTACTATTTTAAAAGACGTTTGTGCAATACACTCTAGAGAGGTATTTATGTATACCATTTTTGTTACGTTGATATGAAATATTTGAGTTGTAAATAACAGGTGTAATTGTTTTATTTGACTTCGTGTAAGTGGAAGAGTTCTTTTTTAAATAGTTACCTGCTTCTTATGTTATGACGGTGAATAAATTGAAACTGAAACATTACAAAATATGACACTATTATTTGTCGTATTACATTTTCCAAATGTCAAATCCAACAATCAGCCCAACAACAATGGGTCGTGTCACCACTATACACTGTGATATAAAACTGTGTACATATACACCTTGTAAAGTTGCACATTTCAATTTTATGGGTTTTGCAAAAAGTTATGAACTATAAATAATAACTTTATTGCATCTGTTTTGGACTTCTTTGGTTCTAAGTTGTCCTTGTATTAATTATGCAGGTTACAGTTTAGTATCATGAACTGGATACATAATACGCAATTTTGTGGTATTATTCCCGCATGGAAAAAAATAGTGAATAAGTACTTTTGATTCTTTCTCTAAACTTTTCATTGCGTAATTATATTCTGTTTTATTTTCTATAATTCTAAGTGCCGTATAAAATAAATTCGGTCAAGCTTTTGCGTAAAAAGGAAAACTAGTTGTTTATCCTCATTGTCTTTTGAAGTCTCTTTTCTTACCTGCGGCAAATTTACTGAAAGTTTTATACACATATACGTGTCATCACGCTTGTCTCCCTCCGGGATAGGCAGAAACTATGGACCTCCACCTGCTACGTTCCTGACAAACCTTCCTCACCTCCTTCATGAAATATTTTATTTTTTTATATATTTCATATCTATATCATGTTTTCCATAGTCTTTTCAAATGTATACATTAATTTTGGTGAAAGTATTGTCAATTATGGTAACAGATACAATAACAGTAAAATTTGTAGTAAAATTAACTAATCACCTTTATTGATTAAAGTTAGTCATGATACAGTTCCAATGTTGACTGCGCGGTTACGCAACCCGTAATTTCTGTTGTAAAGTGAATGTGCCAAAATTCCGCAGCGCTCTCTCTTTTCAAGGCTCAACCCTAAATTATTCCGTTTTTAACAATATATCAATATTTGATGGTGCAGTGCTTGTCACTCGGATAAGATATATTTGTGCTTTTTTTAATGAAACTTTCCATGATACTTCGCCAAACTCGAGTAAAAAAATTACATAAATTCGATGCAGAATGCGTCATTTGTCTGCAGCGATCAACTGTTTAAATTTAATTTTTATTAATAATAATTCTCATTATTAACGCAACAACGTAAAACAGTGATGTTGTACATATAAATAAATGTTTAACAACTAAGAATTTTTATATATATGAAACTGCGATAGGAAATACGTATTAAATATACTGACACCAGCGAATGTTTTCTCTGTCTGTGATCAGACTAGATAAATCCAAATGTTAGAACGTTTACCGCAAAATAAATTACTTTCTAAACGTTCCTCTAGTGGATAACAGCAAATTATAATTTGTCATTTTTTTATGTACTGACTCGAAAGTGCTTAATCGGAAATTATGTACGGCGGCGGATAGTCGCATACTTCATAGCTATCAGAGCGTTGACGACTTGTTGTCAATACAATACCTTAACTAATATAACTCAACGCGTGTCATCCACCGTCCACTAAATCATTTCTTTGAATGATTGTATAATAAAATAATGGAAGAATATGTATATTGTTTGTAAGGACATAATTATTCAATAAAATATATATGAAATTTATTTAAGCGCACATTCAAAACAAGTAGGCTTGCTTTTCTTACCAAAGTGTATTTGCATTCTTATACCATATACATTTGTAATAGTGTTGCTGAATACCGAATATTCTGCTAGAAGCGTGGCCGAATTTAAACATTCGGCCAAACTATTCGGTATGATTCACAAACTTACGAAAATTGGCACGAAAAATACTACTCATTAACTTCAAGTACTTAAACTTAGATAAATAGTTTTGTATAATGAAATAAAAAAGACCTTAATTTTCACATTTATAATTTGTACTCATGATTTACGAAGAATTTTGATTTCACTGTTAATTTAACTTCAGTTTGATAAACTTTCAAAAACTTAATTTTATTTGGTATGCTAATGATAAGTACTTGGTTGATTTTGTTAGCGTTTATTTAGCCATAAGTAAAATACATTATAAAATAAGTATGTAGTTAGTTATCATTATGCTCTGACCTTTGTTGATTTCTTAAATAATATTTTAGTTTCTTTGCTCTCTTCTAAAATAAACCTATAAAAAGCAAACAATACCGCTTTAGCGAATTTCTGTATTGTAGATATGTACAACATTAATCAAATTTACGTAATAATTTACTGTGTTTTTTCATATTTCTTCCTCCTGCTTTTAGGTATACGATATTCGGCCAAATAGTGACTCAATATTCGGTATTCAGGCCGAATAAGCCAAATACCAAATAGTAACCGAATATTAGTTGTGACCATTAACCTGTAAGCCAATGGTTGCCACTCAAATTTATATTTATTATGTATTTATATGAAAATAAAATTAACATTATGAAGTCTTTTACTGTTATTTATTAGGTAGGAAATATTTATGTTTATTACACAGAACAGTCATAATGTAAATGTTAATGCATAGTTTGATAACTTAACCTTGTAATTAACAGTCTAATCGTCAGATTGTGACCTACTCTATCTGTAGAACCAATTGGGAAATTTACTTTCCTAAGTTGTTAGTGAGAAATCTCGGTAGCTTAATGGTTTGATCCGGATTTGCACATCTGAGTTTTTCGGAATTGATATGCGAAATTTAATTTGAAATTTACCATGTGCTTTTCAATGAAGGGAAACGTGATGAAACCTGTCTTTGTGAGCAGGTTACCAAATTCTCAACTCGCCACATTCTCATCTCACCATGTTCTCAGGTCGTCACACCCTCATTTCACCACATCCTCAGCTTTCATACCTCAACATGTCCTCAACTCAACATATTCATTTCAACATTTTCTTTGTTCATCATATTATAAATGTAATCACTATCATAAATATGTTTTAAATTAGCGATGAACGTTGTATATTAGAACCTGCATATACTTTGGCACCCGTCTCAATTCTTTTATCAATAAAATTTGACAATCCTGATTTAACTTATACCGAAGTTTGTAAACCGAACTTGGTCTATTTTTCACATTTATATTTTTTGTAGGATATAATAATTTTATGAATATTTTTTCTACTTATCGAAGGTCGTTTAGTAACTAGAATGGCGAATAATATTGTGGTCTATGCTTGGTTTTTTCTATGGTTACATAAAGGCGGGTACTCATTAGCGAGTTTTAAACTCTAAAGTGACAGATTCTACTGTGTACGCGTGAAACAGTCTTCACTCGCTAGAAGAAGTACCCGGGCTTGGTTAGTGTCGGCTCACTGCGAACCGCAAGCGTTATGCTCGCGGCAAGCTCGCGAACCACGTACGCACTATGATTTTTGATAACATAACATTCAACAGTGACGGTTACAGCTCACTAGTGAGTACCCGGCTTAATGATAACGTTGGTAAACAATAATAGGGTTGTGTGTGTAGTGTTAGTGTTGTAATTAGTACATACGTACTGATGATGCAACAGACCTCTGCTTCCGCAGCTGCGGAAGTACCACAAACTTTTTCACATCTGTTACTATTTCTGCTTCCACAACTTTTGGGAGTACCTTTTATAGCAGATAAGTGCAATTATAAAGCCAAAAACAAGCCTTGTTTGGAATTATTTCGTTGAGATCTTTATAGTATTTACACTTCTGCTTCCGTTTGCGTTCAGATTTAATTTTCTCATCTGCATCCGTTTCTGTTTCGGTTATGACACTTACGTTGCATTATTAACAGGTACCCTAAATATCTTCACACATATCCCCCATATCGCTCAATATTGTGTGAATGAAACCATGATCATAATCTATAGACTATGATCATGGTTTCATGCCTAAACTCCCGCCTGAGAAGTGACCTCTGCCCATCAGTGGAACCTGTAAATAGGTTGATGATGGTGATTTTTTTTTTTTTTTAGTTTATTAAGTTAAGCTAGATTAAGTTGTTTCTGATCCCAGTGTTCTGAGTGGAGCCCGTATAGTGAAATTAGTTATTAGATGGGTAATTGATTCTGTTTGAAATCAATTACTGGGTGTGATTGGCACATTTTTTTCATTATAATTCATAATAAAAACACTATTGTGTAAAATAAAAGAAGAATTTTGGTTCGACAAGATTGCAACAAAATTATTATAACATCATTGTGACCTTTTCCGTTAAATAATCGAGTGACCGTATTTAGTAGCAAAAGTTTGCAAAAAAAAATTCTTGAAAAGGACAAAGCCTCATAAATACAATCCCACTTGGAAATTTATGATTCAAAATTTTGTTGCGCAAACAGTATATAAATATACACAATTTCGAATGGTGTAGATTGTTTATATAAGTATTAAAACTTTGTTGATTCCTTGAGCAATCACTGCGAGTATATATTTGGTTATATACATTAAGACTAGATATTTTCGTTGTCCATTATTGATAACAGAGCTACATTAGGCAAGACGTTGCTTAATGTAATTATCGTAATGACATCAACTAGCGCGATAAGTTAAGCAACTTGCTGTTTCAAGTTTCGCTTTAATGAAGGTAACATCTTTGGTGTCGATTCAGGTAAACAGAATTAACTCGCCTAAGTCTTTATCGTTATCGGTTACAATACGACAGGAGATTTTATTTTAGTTTAGAACTGTGGATGATAACTCTTTATAAATTTTGTCGACTTAAACAAACGCGGTTTATGTTTTTATTGCAATGGGCGTCTTCTAATTTGATAGCTCTTACATTTGC